CTGAGAACACCCAGACGTGTGAAAAATATTCTCACAAGGAAAAATACTAGTTTTAACTAGTATGGGATTAAATTGAAGAATATTTTTAAATCCCAAAGATACAAGGACCACTTCAGAGCTAACTAGAGAAGCCATTCTACACCAAAACTGAGACCCAGATATTTCCACTCAACGTAAAACCAGAGGAATATCAGATGAAGTTTGGGAGCTCATTTACATGGAGATGAAACTCCATCAAACGGCTAGCTTATCTCTTTCTGACATTTTTGCAGAAGATAAGATAAGATCTCTGACAAAAGATACAAGATTTCAAAAATGAGAGCGTCTCTTTCCAACGGACAGATTCTCATTACCAGCTATAAAATGATGAAGATATGAAGACTTGAAGAACACAAGAGCAGAAGAGCATACAACGAACTCACGAACAAGAGAGGAGAAAATTCGAATCCATAAAAGGGATCGAATAGAGCAATTAAGCTTGAAAGAGCATAGAGCAAAAATCTCATTTGGTACAGAGCATACCAAAAATCTTCAAGTGAGAAGTGAGAAAAGAAAAAGAACTCAGAGAGCTTCAAAAGAGAAATATTCTGAGTTCTTAAACAGAGCAAAACAGAGCATAAATATCAAGTGCTTTACTTGATATATTCAAAGAGAGAAAACACTCAGAGCTATCAAGAGAAATCATTCCAGAGTGTTTATCTTCATCAAAGAGACCTGCGCATCATTGAAGATCAACTACAGAGTCTCAGAAGTTGGAAGCAAGACAACACTTGTTTTGGAGCAAAACAAGAGAAGGGAGGAAAGTAGCACGGAGCTGTGAAATCCTGGATTGTCACACGGAGCTGTGAGATCCGAAGCAGCAGTGTCGAAGGCACTGGGCGTGATTGGTGTGGGCTTGGTGATCAAAGCACCAGATCACGGGATACGTTTTTACCGGAGTGTGGAAGACGGGGGAAAGTAACGCGGAGTCGTGAAATCCTGGGATAGTAGCGCGGCGACGTGAAACCCGAAGCAGCAGTGTGGTGTCACTGGGCGTGATTAGTGCGGGTTTTGTGATCAAAGCACTAGATCACAGAATTCATTGTATCTTGGAACCAAGAAGTGGTGGATATAGTGAATTGGCTCTTGGAGAAAAGAGCAAGTGGAGTAGGAGGATTACACCACCTCGCGAACCACTATAATTGTCTTGTGTTCTTTACTGCTTTCTTTACTTACCGCTCTTTACATATTCGCTCTACACGAGATATACTGCTCACATAATCTCACACACACTTTATCGTTATTTAATTTCCGCTGTGCACCATACTCTAACAATCTAGTTATGAGTTTTGGTTTATCTCTGTCTTAGCAATTGTTGTGCTGTGCGAAAAAGTTTGAAAGTCTATTCACCCCCCCCCCCCCTCTCTAGACTTTCACCTTACCTCTTTTGGGACCAACAATTGGTATCAGAGCAGGTGTTTACCCGAGTCAAAATTGTCCCTAAAGTGGGTCAACTATTTTTGACTGCTAGACAGATCCATTCTACAAAGTGTGTGAATTGGATTAATCTTTCATATCTCACGTGATGATGATGAAGAAAGATTTAGCTCAAAATCTATTATTCTCTCTTGATAAATTTGATGATTGGAAAGTTCGTATGCAGGTACACTTATCGGCTTTACACGATGAAATGTGGGAAGTTATTTCCACTGGCCCTATCGAAATATTAAAAGTCAATACGGCGTTTGTTATATCCCCGGATGCTCCACAGTACGTACAAAAGCCAAAACCGGAATGGACATCGGATGATAGAACGCGGAATAATCTTGACAATATTGCCAAGGATATTCTATTCAAAGCCGTTGATGATACAATATTTCCGAAGATCCGAAAGTGTGTCACTGCCAAAGAAATATGGGAAACTCTCATCAAGATTGGCGTAGGAGATGAACAAGAAAAGGATAATAAGCTCACAATCGCCATGAAGAAGTTCGAAGATTTCAAAATGCTCTCAAATAAAAGTGTTGCAGACATGGAAGCTCGAATGATCAAAGTTCTTGGAGAGATTAGTGATCTTGGCAAAAATATTAGCCAAAAAGAAATTAATCTCAAAATCCTACGAGGCTTACCATCTGCATGGGATATGAAGGTTACGGCTATGCGCGATCACCGAGATCTAAGAATGTTGTCAACAGACAAATTATTTAGTGATCTAAAAGCATATGAGTTCGAAATGAAGGCCAAAGATGATGATGTTCATGAAGCTTGAAATTCTGCTCTAATGGCCGAACAACCGTCAACCTCCAGGTCAGTAGAAAATAATGTTGATTTTATGACTGACGAACAGTTTGCTCTTTTTGTGAAAAGATTTAAAAGGTTTATGCGAAAAGGAGACAACAAAAATTCTGTTCGTGGAAAATTCATCTCTCGCATAACACAAGAAGAAAAAGTCGAAGAAAATAAGGATTTGTGCTACAATTGCCGCAAACCCGGACATTTTAAAATAAATTGTCCGTATCCGATCGTTAGCAAGTATCAAGGCAAAAATGTTGAATCTACGCCGAACAAATCCGAAAGCAAAAGGTTCAAGCGCGACAAAAGAAAAGCTCTCGTTGGCAACGAACCAAACGAAAATGATGATTCGGAGGATTCATCATCAAGCGATGAAAGTTCATATTCGGATGATGATACGGCGCTAATATGCAAGTCAATTGAGTTGAGTACAAGTGAAGATTGTCTTATGGCTCTTGACGCAGAGGAAGAAGAGGTAACATCTAATTCTTTCAATTCTGTTAATTCTTCTTTTTCTCGCGAATCTATTGACAATCTAATGCGAGAATGTCAAGAGATTATGCTCACTCATCCTCAACTCAAGGAGCGCAATAATATTCTAATTCTTGAAAAAGAAGAAATGAATAAAAAATTGCAAGATGCTTTACTTGAAGTGAGTAAATTGAAGAATGAAAATATTCATCTTCAAGAAGAGTGTAAAGCAAGAGAGGTTAGAGTACGTTCACTAATTCGTCTAAAATTATAGATAAAATGGTGAGCATGCAAAAGCCATCAGGAGATAGAACCGGAATCGGTTATGACTCCACATGTTCTCAAACCCCTCAAAATCTGACTAATTCTACTACTACTTTAAATAATAAAGTTCAAGTGGTAAAATTTGTTAAAAGTCAGAATAGCACGATGAGACAAGGACTTGGCTATCAATCAAATGCAAAGTTGAATGTTGAAAGGCCGAAACAAGTTTATACTACGGCAAAGCAACAAAAATTCTACAAGCAAAGATATGCCAAAGAGTCAAGTGCAAAAAGATTTCATAGAAAAGAGGGAAGCTTTTCTAGAAATAAAGTTGGGAGATTTTACCCCACTCAAAAAGATTGGTTGTGCAATAGATGTAATATTTTTTATAGACCAAAGCAACCATTCTCTTCCCAGGTGCCAAAATATAAAAATAATTTTCAAAACCCGGCGCCAAAAATATTTTCTAATGTGAGTTATGATTATCGTGTCTCTAATGGTTACAAATCGCCTCATCTTAATTCAATAAGATCAAGGTGGGTTTGGTTACCAAAAATCACTAACAGTAAAGGACCCAAGCAAGTATGGGTACCTAAAATTAATTAATCTTTTTTGCAGGATGTTTGGTACATCGATAGTGGTTGCTCACGCCACATGACTAGAAATAAATCATATCTAGTGAATTTCAAAGAAATCGATGGACCAAAAATTATATTCGGAGGAAATCAAAATTATGGAATTACAAAAGGAGTTGGCACGATCAAGAAAAATGGTTTGAAGATTGAAGATGTTTCTTTCGTTGAAGGATTAAAGTTTAATTTGTTGAGCACTAGTCAATTTTGTGATAAAGGCTATCTTGTAGAATTTTCTAAAGATAATTGCCTAATCAAAAATGAGCTCACAAATGAGATTATTTTATCTGGAAAACGGCGAAAGAATATGTATATTGTTGATTGGAGCACAAGCAAAGATTCAGTGTGCTTAATGGCCAGAAATTCGAATGAAGCTAATTGGGAATGGCACAGAAAGCTCAACCACTTAAACTTCAAGACCATCAATCAGCTTGCAAAGAAAAATCTAGTAGAAGGCTTGCCAGATATTATCTTCAAGAAGGACCAAGTGTGTGATGCATGCCAACGCGGAAAGCAAATCAAATCATCATTCAAATCAAAGACACACGAGTCAACGTCAAGACCGCTAAGCTTACTACATATGGACTTATTTGGACCAGTTGATCCAATAAGTGTAAGTGGTAAGAAATATACTCTCGTTGTTGTTGATGATTTTTCTAGGTACACTTAGACCGTGTTTCTCAAGAAGAAAAATGAAGTTGAGCAAGTTCTACCAAAGCTGTTGAAGCAACTACAAAATGAGAAAGAATTGCAAATATCAAAAATACGAACGGATCGCGGAACCGAGTTCGTGAATGGAGTTATACAAGCTTTTTGCAATTCACATGGAATTTCTCATCAATTATCTGCCGCAAGAACACCGCAACAAAACGGTGTTGCCGAAAGAAGAAACCGAATGCTCAAAGAAGCCGCACGAGTGATGATTAGTGCTGCCGGTCTCTCGAAACGATATTGGGCGGAAGCTATCAACACTGCTTGTTACACACAAAATCGAAGCATGATCCATAAGCAGTACAAGAAGACTCCATATGAGTTATATAAAGGGAGTGTTAGTAATGTTATTATTTGTTATTATTATTTGTAATCCTAAGTCTAGTTATATTATGTATTAGAATAAGTCTTATTTGACTAGGCTATTAGATAGGAGATAATAAGTCTCTGTTCTGTTGAAACTGAATAACAAATGTTTCTCTTATCTGGTATCAGCCAAACGTCGATCCATTCTCTCTCTTCGTTTTTTTTTTCTCTCCTTTTTTCAACAAAACCACCGTAAAACTCCCACCACCACCGCAAATGTCATCCAATTCCTCCGAGAGAACAATTTCCGCCGGCGGTGGCTCATCTCCGTCCGGTAACAATTCCCTTACGGGCGCTCATCACTTCATCTCTATGAAGTTGACGTCCCGAAACTTTTTATTCTGGCGCACCCAGCTTATTCCGTTTCTTCGCGGACAGGACCTGCTCGGCTTTGTGGATGGCACCTCGTTTCTCTAATCGGGAGAAAACCAAATATTGGTTATTTTCACATTTTTGGATGCAAATGTTTTATTCATATTAATGATAAATTGCATCTAAAAGCTTTTGATGAGCGTGCAGATGAAGGAATTTTTCTAGGATATTCAGCTACCAGCAAGGCATTCAGAGTTTTGAATAAAAGATCAATGGTGGTTGAAGAATCCATACACGTGGTATTTGATGAAAAATCACAGATCAAGAATGATGCACTGGACGAAGAAATTGCACAAAATGGTAACAAGTGTCATATTGATTTTTGTGATACTAATGATACGTGTGAAGATGATGTTTTGCAGGGAATGGATGAGTTGGAAATTAATTCTCTAGAAAATCCCATCCCTCACCCAGAAGAAGTTGGAAATTCTTTAAATAATAATTTTAGGAGTGATGCCTCACGTGGGAATGGAGATGCAGTACAAGTTGGTGATCCAATTAATGATCAAATTGCATGTGATGTTGGTAATCAATTTCAAGACAATTTAATTGATGAAATTCGAACCAACACTGCAAATTCACAACAAATGGATCCACCCAGTACCATGCACCCATTTCAACCAGATTTAAGATGGCTCAAAAATCACCCTCCAGAATTAATTATTGGGAATATCCATGAAGGCGTGAAAACAAGATCATCTACCATGGAAGCATTGTTCACGTGTTATCTATCTCAGATTGAACCAAAAGAAATTGACGAAGCTCTCAATGATCCGGATTGGATAAATGCTATGCAAAAGGAGCTCGATCAATTCAAAAGAAATGATGTTTGGGAACTTTTTCCAAGACCGGCAAACCACAATGTTGTAGGAACCAAATGGGTCTTCCGGAACAAAGCAAACGAAGAAGGCGTGATTGTTAGGAATAAAGCAAGGCTCGTTGCAAAAGGATACTCTCAAGAAGAAGGAATAGATTTTGATGAAACCTTTGCACCGGTGGCCCGACTTGAAGCAATCAGAATTTTCCTAGCCTATGCCGCACACAAAGATTTCACTGTTTATCAAATGGACGTGAAAAGCGCATTCTTGAATGGTCTACTCGAAGAAGAAGTTTATGTCGAACAACCCCCAGGTTTTGAGGTAAAAGGCGAAGGTGATAAAGTCTACAAACTTAAAAAGGCATTGTATGGGTTGAAACAAGCACCTCGAGCTTGGTATGATACTTTGTCAATGTTCTTGATAAGCTGTGGATTCACCAAAGGCCTTGTTGACAAAACTCTATTTAGAATTCAAGATGGTGATCATATTTTATTAGTGCAAATTTATGTTGATGATATTATTTTTGGAAGCACTAACAATTCTTTGTGTGAGAAATTTTCGAAGCTTATGCAGAATAAATTCGAAATGAGCATGATGGGTGAATTGAATTACTTCTTGGGCTTACAAGTCAAACAACTGAAAGAAGGAGTATTCATCAATCAAGCAAAGTACACCCGCGACTTGATAAAGAAGTTTGGCCTTGATGGAAAATCATCGATCAAAATTCCAATGAGCACATCAATAAGGCTAGACAAAGATGAAGATGGAAAAGATGTCGACCAAACAAAATATAGAGGAATGATTGGTTCACTTCTATATCTTACTGCAAGCATGCCGGACATTTCTTATGCTGTGGGAGTGTGTGCAAGATTCCAAGCAAATCCAAAAGAAAGCCACCTCGTCGCAACAAAGAAGATCATACGATATTTGAAAGGCACAATCAATGTTGGATTATGGTATCCAAAAGGTACAGATTTTACTCTAACAGGTTTTTCAGATGCGGATTTTGCAGGTTGCAAAATAGACAGAAAAAGCACTTCCGGGACATGCCAGTTCTTGGGGGGAAGGCTTGTTTCTTGGTTCAGCAAAAAGCAAAATTCCATCGCAACTAGTACCGCCGAGGCCGAATATATTGCTGCAGGAAGTTGTTGTGCGCAAATTTTGTGGATGAAGCAACAATTGAAGGATTACGGAGTAAATTGTGATGACGTTAGTATTTATTGTGATAATATTAGTGCAATCGCTATCACTCACAATCCGGTGCTTCACTCAAGAACCAAACACATCGACATTCGACACCTTTTCATAAGGCATCACGTTGAAAAGAAAAATCTGAAGATCGAATATATCCCAACGGAAAACCAAGTTGTTGATATTCTCACAAAGCCTTTATGCGAAACGAGATTTTCTACCTTAAGGCACGAGTTGGGAATGATCGAAATGAGCTAAGTATCACTGGACTTAATCTCTCTATTTAAATTGATACTTGTGCTCAAAATAAATTGTTTTACGTATTTGCATGTATGTTTTTACTCGAAATTTTTATGTGATAAAATTGCAATATGTGTTAGGAATTTATTTGTGTATTTGCATGTGTTATTTAACGTGAGATCATATGCCATGCAAATTAATTTGATAAAATGTGCAATTCGTGATTTATTTGATAATTTGTTTAAAATTGCATGTTTTAATATGTTAATCAGTTTTTGAGTATGTGTTCATGTTTCTGTAAATTAACTAACTTGTTTGCATGAACAATTTGCTCTAAAAATGATTTACCGTGTTTGTGTAATAATATATATGTGTTATGTGCAAAATATGATTTAATGTGTTAATTGTATGTGTGTTATGCAGTATATGTGATATAATTTGCAATAAAATGTTTTAGAAATCTATAAGTTAATATTTTTGTTAGTTTCTAAAATATTTTTGGAATCTGATTATTGTGTTTTTATATAAAGTTGTTTCTAATTATAATTTAGGAATATGTGTGTTAATTTTGTTAGTTTCCAAAATGTGTTTGATTTTTGATTGGAAATTACCGTGTATGAGTTTAGTATAATTGGTATGTGTGATTAATTATTTGTGGAATAATTTTTGCAACTAACGAGATGTTTGAGTGATATTATGTTTGTGGTACACGAATTTGAGAAGGAAATCAGGAGATAAAGGAGGAAAATTAGATTTTAATTGGGCATCAAACCTCCACCCATAAACTCCTACCCTTTCTAAACCTCCACCCAACCTAAACCTCCCCCCATAATCCTCTCCTAAATCAAATCTTTCCAAACAGATTTACTCTCTCTCTCTCTCTCAAATCGACACCTCCATCTCGCCTGTCAGAAATCTAGACTCTTAATCGATCCCCACAAACAAATCTCAAGGAGATCAGAACCAAAATCCTTCTTAAGTGTCTCTTCAAATCTCCACCCTCTACACCTTATGTGCATTGGGTATTTCTAAAGAGGTGTGAGCATTAAATGCTCTTGTCTGCTCATGATGACATTTTCTCTTTCCTCGTAACACTCTCTATCAGATGACTCATCTACCCTAAACTCACCCAATCGACACACCTCAACCAAAGGGTACAATTGAGAAGTCTCATATCTCTCTCTTAAATTCGAAAAACCCCTTCGAGTCATCCTCCTCATATAAACCCCTCTCTTATACCTCAAAAACTCTTTCAAGACCTTCAGAATATCAGAAAACTCTCTCTCTCAAATTATCTCTCCTCGATCAATCGATCTGATCATCATGGCCCAATCTGGAAGAAAGCAAATTGATCCTATTTCTGCCCTCTCGCAACAAGTGACGAATGGGATGGTACTCAATCCTGAGTTTTTCAGACTAGGTTCTACCAACAAGGACACGGCCGAGAAAATTCTTCAAGCTTTAAAAGACTGTGGACTGTTTGATTTCTTCACCTACAACTACTTTGGAACCTTTGAAGAAGATATAGCTGAATTTTATCTACATGCAGTCGTTGGAAAGGACTCGATTAAATCTAAAGTTGGAGGATCAGAAGTTTCGATCACTGAAGATGACATACATAAGTGCTTCAACTTTCCTGAATCTCAGATAATGCCAGAATCTCACAGCTACGTTGTTCAAAATTTTTGGAACGAGATTCGTGGTCCTACGGCTCCAATTTTCTCTGATGTATCCGCTCATAAGAATGTATTGAAGTTTGAATACGAGATGTTGGTGGACATGATTTACAAGATTCTTGAACACAAACTGGGTAGTACTGAAGATTTGACTGCCTCAACAGTGTGCCAGATGGACGGAATCATGAAAGGGATAAAATTCAAATGGGCAAAATTTATCTACAGGAAAATGGTTATTTTTGTTCATGCTGCCAAACCAATGAAGAAACCCGCTGTAGTAGACCGATTCTATCAAAATGTTGGATATGGTCTCATCATTGGAGAACTGCTAAGGAAGAAGACAATTCCAATGAGAAAACACAAAAATATTGGAATTTACAGAGCTCTCTTCAGAAAATTCAGTCCTAATTTTGGAAAAAGGTCAAGCCAGAGAAGAAGACAAGAAGGTGGGAGTTCTACAAGTTCAAAAACACCTCAGAGTTCCAGACCGAGAAACAGCAAAGCAATCTCAACCTCAAGTAATCAAATGGGATCAAGTAATCGATCAGGAAGAGATCAAGAAGCCATCAGTACGGCTATGGCAGTTGTTCTGATCAAATATGCCGAACCAAACGTGTTGGCCGAAGGAGCTGACGATACTACAAGAATGGAATTTGCAGGAGTTGATGTGCAAATTTCGAATGATCTACAAAGAAGACTCTCGAGTCAATCTGCAGCCGAAGGAAGTGCAGGACCTATAGTCTTTGACTCAGCTCTCATTCAAGATGATCCGGAGCTGTTGAAAGAATTGATAATGGTGCAAACTTGGAAAGAATGGAAACTTGAAAGATATCATTCTTTCATGTCAAAAATCACCCCAGATTTGATACGGAGTGAAGATTTTTCCTTGGAATGGTGCGGAACGAACGTGATGCTAGATGCACTCAACATGGATTTAAATCAAGTGTATCACATGAAGCTACACGAGAAGGCAGCCAGACAAAAAGGCAAAGCACCAATAAAAGGAGGCAGTACGGTTCAAGACCGTTTAGCCGAACAAGAGAGACAGAATGAAATTTCACTTCAGTTAGCTCTGCAAAGGTCAGTTTATGACACACATCATTATCTAGGTAACACATCTCTTGTGGATAATGAAGTTTTTGATGAAAGAACTGAAGGGACGGCACTCATTGATGTACCAATCATAAGCACTGAAAATCATATGGACATACCTGTGAAAGTCCATGATTCTTCTTTATTAATATCTGATCTGACCCCCACAACAACTAATGTGAATCTAGAGTGCAATGAACAACTTGTGGGATCTAATGAAGCCGAAGTGTCAGTACGAGAAGAAATAAGAGAACAAGTGTCAGAAGAAGGAAGAAGAGATATACCAGTTGAAGTTGCAGTAGAAGTTGCTACTGAGAGTAGACTGCAAATCACATGGGATTTATCCAGTGTATTGCCGGTACACCATACCGAGTCTACCATGCCTACCATGGACCCTGTTCTAGAAAATGAAGATATATTTGCAGATAACTACACAAGAACAGAAGTCTTAGAAGAACAGGTTGGTGATCTAAATCAAAAAGCCGAATCACCTGAAGAAAAAGGGATGCAACTTATTGATACAGTTGTTCTCACAGATCCGAATAGAAGTCCATTCGGATCCTCTCAAAACTTTGTGCAGATGAATGATCAAGATGATGGCATATTTTCATCCTTATTTGCCAAAGTGGCCGAATCCAGTGATGTTGTTTGTCAAACAATTGGAGAAAAATTGGTTGAACAAAATCAAAAGATGGATCAACAACACACAGATGTACGAGTCAATCTGAAGGAATTAATGGAGCATCAAAATATTTTGAAGACCCAGATTGACAAAGCTGAAAGAATTTTGAAAGGAGAATTGACAAAAGGCTTACTTGAAGTGCTTCAGCTCATGAAGAAGGAACGAGAAGCAGCTGAAAAGATTAACAACGAACGTCACTTGAGACAAATCAAAGCGATTCAAGATCAAGAAAGCCGAATCAACAAACTTGAAGCTGAACTCGCAGTTACAACAAACAAACTTGACAACGTGCAAACCGTTTCCATTGAAACACACAACAGTGTTGAAACTGTGAAGGCAAACCAAGACCGAGATTTTAAGACCCTAGCATTTTTGGTTGATAACGCCAAAAGGGGGAAAGAAATTCTCAGTCACATGGCTTTGCAACAACAAGAATTTATTCTTGGAAGTCAACAACAGCCAGTAGTGTCTACTCAAGGTAGAGGCCGAAGCCGCGGACAATCCTCACAAGGACCATCTCAGATTGGTTTTGCTCAGTTCGCGAATCCTAGTCTTGGTACGAGTACATCAAAGGTTGCTGAACAGCGTGGCTGGTTAGAATGTTCTAAGGGTACCGCCACTCAGACAACAATATGGACCAAGGAAAATTTACCAAGCATGATCAAGAAATGGCCTGCAGCCGATCAAGCCCAATGGATCTCGGAAAAGAATTAAGAAGAAGAAGGCAAAAGGAAAAGAACCGAGATGTGGTATGAACTAAGAGATTTCACCGGAAATATGGGCATGAATCTTGGAGAAGAAAGAAGCTTCGAAGAATGTGTCTTATGGTGGGAAAACGGAGTTCTTCCGGGCAACAATATCAAAGAAGCTTATGGATACTATATGGCCGGACAGCTTACAAAGAAATTTCAGAATGCAAAATTTAAAGATGATTTCTTCAAGCTCAGAGAACATGTCAAGGAAATTTTGAAGAAAGACTTTGGTGTGAAGAAACCCAGAAGGTAATCTGAAAATTCTCTTAAGCTGATATTTTCTATTTTCGAACTTCTGTTGCGTTTTTCTCTATAAATTCGAAATATATCAATAATAATTTCCCATGGTCTATTTTGAGTCTTTAATTTTATTTGTTTAATGTAATTAGACTTTCGTGAATTAAAAGACAAGAAATATGTCAAACGCACGACAAAATTAAAAATTGATGATGATCAAAATAAAAATAATCCAAGATGCGTTTAGGAGCTTGTCTAAAAATTTAATTCACAAGTTTCTTTTGATTGTGTCTAGAAAACCATTTGTTAAACTCACCTTGGCTTTGTCAAATAAAATTGAGCAAAAAGATTATTTTTCAAAGACTTAAAGCCAATGACTGAGTATAGGTTTTGGCATTATCAAAAGGGGGGAAATTGTTAGGAATAAAGTGTAATGGTTTTGATATGCCAAATTTGTATTTGTAGATCCCCCAAATTTTATTTATAGGTCTAGTAGAGTCTTAGACCGTGATCGGGAAATTATTTAATTATGAAAAGAGAAAAACAGAGGAAGATGCATGAAAATAGTAGAAGAAGATATCAAGCCGAAAATTAAGAATTTGTCTGGAGAAAATGACAAATTGAAGGAGTTGAATGATATGAAATCACGTCAATGCTACTCAAAGAAGATATCCCAGAAGAATTTTCTTGAAGAAAATTAATATTAGAAGAATGCATGAAATTGACTTGGAGATCAAGCATCTATGGAAAGAAAGAAGTACATCAAATGTGATTGGAGATTTAATCAAAAGTTGTACGGACGAAGTGGATGATGCTTGATATATTATTTGAAATGGCTCAAGCTCGAAACTCACCATCAACAATTTTACAAGGTAAAATTTGAGAAGTCAAATTAAATTAATCGAGATGCAATTGCACTTAGGAGCCAATTCAAAGGGAATTGGGAGCCGATTTCATAGAAATTGAAATTGGGAAGAAGACATGGAGATCAAATTGAATTGAGATGAAATTCAAATACCAAGGGAAGTCTGGGAGCCAATTGAGATGCAATTGCACTTAGGAGCCAATTCAAAGAAGACATGGAGATCAAATTGAATTGAGATGAAAAGATCAAATTGAATTGAGATGAAATTCAAATACCAAGGGAAGTCTGGGAGCCAATTTCAAAGTCAAAGTCAACAATTCAAATTGGGAAGTCAAAGTCAACAATTCAAATTGGGAGGGAAGCAATTGAAAGCACCAGGAGCAGTTTGGAGCCAATTGCAAGTCAAAGTCAATTACAAAGGAGAAATTCAAATTGTCAATTACAAAGGAGAAATTCAAATTGTCAATTACAAAGGAGAAATTCAAATTGGGTGGAAGTTCACAACAACCAGTTTGAAGTCTGAGAACACCAAGACGTGAGAATGAAGAAGATGAAGCAGAACTTACAGTGAACACCAAGACGTGAGAATGAAGAAGATGAAGCAGAAATTCAAATTGGGTGGAAGTTCACAACCAGTTTGAAGTCTGAGAACACCAAGACACCAAGAAATTCAAATTGTGTGGAAGTTCACAACTAGTTTGAAGTCTGAGAACACCAAGACGTGAGAATGAAGAAGATGAAGCAGAACTTACAGTGAAAAATATTCTCACAAGGAAAAATACTAGTTTTAACTAGTATGGGATTAAATTGAAGAATATTTTTAAATCTCAAAGATACAAGGACCACTTCAGAGCTAATCAGAGAAGCCATTCTACACCAAAACTAAGACCCAGATATTTCCACTCAACGTAAAACCAGAGGAATATCAGATGAAGTTTGGGAGCTCATTTACATGGAGATGAAACTCCATCAAACGGCTAGCTTATCTCTTTCTGACATTTTTGCAGAAGATAAGATAAGATCTCTGACAAAAGATACAAGATTTCAAAAATGAGAGCGTCTCTTTCCAACGGACAGATTCTCATTACCAGCTATAAAATGATGAAGATATGAAGACTTGAAGAACACAAGAGCAGAAGAGCATACAACGAACTCACGAACAAGAGAGGAGAAAATTCGAATCCATAAAAGGGATCGAATAGAGGAATTAAGCTTGAAAGAGCATAGAGCAAAAATCTCATTTGGTACAGAGCATACCAAAAATCTTCAAGTGAGAAGTGAGAAAAGAAAAAGAACTCAGAGAGCTTCAAAAGAGAAATATTGTGAGACTTCTTAAACAGAGCAAAACAGAGCATAAATATCAAGTGCTTTACTTGATATATTCAAAGAGAGAAAACACTCAGAGCTATCAAGAGAAATCATTCCAGAGTGTTTATCTTCATCAAAGAGACCTGCGCATCATTGAAGATCAACTACAGAGTCTCAGAAGTTGGAAGCAAGACAACACTTGTTTTGGAGCAAAACAAGAGAAGGGAGGAAAATAGCACGGAGCTGTGAAATCCTGGATTGTCACACGGAGCTGTGAGATCCGAAGCAGCAGTGTCGGAGGCACTGGGCGTGATTGGTGTGGGCTTGGTGATCAAAGCACCAGATCACGAGATACGTTTCTACCGGAGTGTGGAAGACGGGGGGAAAGTAACGCGGAGTCGTGAAATCCTGGGATAGTAGCGCGGCGACGTGAAACCCGAAGCAGCAGTGTGGTGTCACTGGGCGTGATTAGTGCGGGCTTTGTGATCAAAGCACTAGATCACGGAATTCATTGTATCTTGGAACCAAGAAGTGGTGGATATAGTGAATTGGCTCTTGGAGAAAAGAGCAAGTGGAGTAGGAGGATTACACCACCTCACGAACCACTATAATTGTCTTGTGTTCTTTACTGCTTTCTTTACTTACCGCTCTTTACATATTCGCTCTACACGAGATATACTGCTCACATTATCTCAAACACACTTTATCGTTATTTAATTTCCGTTGTGCACCATACTCTAACAATCTAGTTATGAGTTTTGGTTTATCTCTGTCTTAGCAATTGTTGTGCTGTGCGAAAAAGTTTGAAAGTCTATTCACCCCCCCCCCCCCCCCCCCACTCTAGACTTTCACCTTACCTCTTTTGGGACCAACAGGAACATATTACATTGTTATTCTTGATATAAAAATTTTATATCTCCAGTTAATATATTTTGTAAATAAATAACTTAATAATTGTTGACAAATAATATGATTGCTAGAGGTATAGAAAACTGCAAGTACAGAATGTGTCAACTATAGATACATAATCTGACTTGATAATTGTTGACACATAATATGATAGCTACATGTACAGAAATTATCAACTGCAGGTATAGAATGTGTCAACTATAGATATAAAATCTGAAAGTTATTTTTGAACCAAGGTCTATAATGCAAGGTAGACCTGGTCCACTGCATAATTTGCCTAGTGTATGGCACGGAGATTTTTTTTTTTTTTTGAAAGTTATCGCACGAAGATTTAGAGAAGTCAAAAGTTGTACTAAGAATTTCTATTATGTCCTTTTTTTTTTTATATGAAGTTAATTAATTCATTGATTCAAGTCTGAAACAAAGCATCAGAGATGATAAGGGGAGAGTTAACCGGGTCAAAAACGGTAATAGAACAAAAATAAAAAGAGTTGACAAAAATATGACACTTTTGAAAATTGAATAAAAATAAGAAAAGATCCTTTGATAAATGTGTTTGTTGTCATAATTTTTTTTTTCATGGTCAAACAGACACACAAGTCCCACTTACATTTCTGCAAATTTATTTTTTAAAATTGGTCTCCGGCGACCAAACTGGTCGCCTTCTCTTTCGCTGGAGAAGTCGACCAGTTTGGTCGCCAACTTCTCGGACGAAGGATAAACTAACATGTAATCCCTATTGTGATTGTCTTGTAGTGTCTCTCTTCCTTTGTTTTTGTTCTTATTTTAGTGTTGTGTGACATTGCCTTCTCCCATTCTGTTTCAATGTACTGCTTAATTCAGTAGCATAAAGGATATGTTTCTAGCTTAAGTGGTTCTCGGTTTTGTACTTGCAGTTTTTGTATATTGTAAGAAATATTGTTCTCCCTATGTTTCATTGATTTGCCTTAAAACTCATATATACAACTTTGAATAACAGTCATATGCCTAAATAAGGCAAAGAATAATACAACAAATTTACAATATTTTAAGAATGATATTGTTTACATATTTATCTAATTACCATATTGTAATATATATGATAGGAACCAAATGAATATGCTTGAAGTAAACAAGACGAACTATGAGTCATCATGCAATGCGGACCATCTCCTTCAGGACTGGACTACTGGTGCTGGAAGAGATGTAGTTCCACTCAACATGACTAAAACATACTATATCATTAGTGGCGAGGGGTTCTGCTATGGTGGAATGAGAGTAGCTACTGTCAAAAAGCCCAATCCCTAAAAAGGATACCCTAGCGAAGAGGATGGAAGAAAAAGAAAGAAAATTGAAAAAATAATAACCTGAGTTGCTCTGATACCATGTAAGAAATATTGTTTTCCCTGTATTTTACGTTGATTATTTGCCTTCAGGCTCATAAAGGACGAACCTGGAGGAGGGGGCGGGAGAAGAGAGAGTAATGCGGCGACCTCATTTCGGTGACGTCATAACTCCTTGGCTTTTCCGGCCGATCTTCGTCGTCGTAGAGCTCATCGCTCTCGGGCTCTCATGACATTTTCCTTTAATTTGTTAAAATTTAAGGGTATTTTTTCTATCTTTAATTTGACAATTATACCCTTAAATTTAACACTCACTTAACAAAAAGACTAACGGAAAATTATTTGTGGTCAAAAATGAAAGTTGAGGTATTTGTTTTGGTCGAATTGAAAGTCGAGTACTAAAAGGAGTACTACCCCAATAATCTGAGGACTATTTGTGATATTAACTCTATAATTTATGTTGCCGTCGAAATAATTAATACTAACACATTTTATATACATTTATACGAAAAATCATCATATGATATTTTCATTTCATTCATATTTAAAGTGAAAGGAATAACCAAATCACGAAAATAAATAAATTATAAATGAGAATTTTAATATAAGATAATCATGAAAATGATAACAAACAAAGAGTAAGGCATTAGATATTAAGGAAATGCTTCCCACCCTTACAAAAGCTTCCAAAGTATACGCCTACCTTGCGTTTATGTTGTGCATGCCTTAAAAGTAAAATCCAATTGGGTTTGTTATTAAAAGCTACTTATTTTTCTCTACTTTATTTTTTTCGAAAAATGAGCCAAATCTGCTATCAAATTTTAGCGGAAAAGTTAATTAGCTCCCTATATTTGTTAAAGCTTCAATTACACCCATTAATAATTTATCTTGATGCAATAAAACATAAAAACTAGTTAATGACCTACTATCACATAATTAGGGTTTCGGCCACCCTTAAGCGAAATTTCAGATAAAAAAGTATTTGGCGAGTGATCACCGATCATAGAAAAGATACCAAGGTTGCGTTCTCTATAGGACATGTTTAAGAAGTTCTAATCTATAGGACTACCTATATCATTTTCCTTTATTTTAATTACAAGCATCAAGAAATTAAAACCAATTTCAGATAACCCTCTGAAAAGTTGTGAAGACATGAAAAGATTTATGTTTAGGCTCAAAAGTTAGCCCGTTTTTCAGCTGGTTAAGTACTTCATTTCCGCAAAATTGAATGCTTTCATTTCAGCGGCCCCCTAAAAAGTGCTTCTTTAATTTCTCAATTCATCTTTGTTCCTATAAATATCCATTAACTCGATCAGACTTGTTCATTACGAAAATGGCTGCAAAAATCACTGATCTTCTTCTCATGCTACTCATCTTTCTAAGTGAATCATGTGTCATCATCTTAGCATTCAATGTTGTTGATTTCGGGGCAAACCCTGACGGCGTGACTGACTCTTCAGAGCCATTTTTACGGGCATGGGCGGCCGCCTGTGCCTCGCCGGAGCCGGCCGTCATTTACGTGCCGCCGGGAAGGTATTCAATCACGCAAGTTAAGTTTGGAGGAAAGTGCATGAGCAGAGGCATTGAATTCTTAATCAACGGCACCCTGGTTGCTCCCGCCGACTATAATGTCATCGGAAACGTGGGTTACTGGATTCTGTTTGATGGCGTTGACGGCGTCTTCATTAACGGCGGCACCCTCGACGGTCAGGGTGCTGCCTTGTGGAACTGCAAGGCTTCCCGGAAGGACTGCCCCAATGGCGCTACGGTAATAATTGAATCAAAAGATTTAACAATATATATTACAACCTCCGTCTCATTTCATGTGTTTTGATTAATAGGTGTTATTTTTAATTCAATATTTCATAATGTAAATTTAGTACGAATATTAAGTATATAAAATTTATATATTTAGAAAATTATATTAAAAATATTATTAAGCATTAAAAAAAATCTAAATTTAAAAATACGAAAGAAATGGTTTGATTAATAAATAATAAATAAAACAATTGACAATGACATTATAGTCTAGTGCCACGAAGTGGCTATCCCATTTAGGAGGTCATGGATTCGAGCCTCAGTAAGGGCGGTATTGACACCTTGTGCTTCAGTATGTTGAGAAAGTAAATTTATAGTACATTGTAACAGAGTCTGGTTGCAATTCTAAATTTAGTCATTCTCCTGACTTTTTCTATTTTTAGTAAGGACAACATATAGTGCATTGTAACAGAGTCTGGTTGCAATTCTAAATTTAGTCATTCCCATGACTTTTCCTATTTTTAGTAAGGTATTTTTGTCTTTTCCTATTTTTCTTTTGTTATTTTCCGATTTCAATCGGTTTAATTGGTTTAGGACTTTATGTAAACTCTTATTTTTAGTAACCATATTTTCAACCGGTTTTTAGTAAAGTCCTAAACCAATTAAACCGTTTGAAATCGAAAAAATAATAAAACAAACATATGAAGAGACAAAAATGCCCTTACTAAAAATAGGAGAAGTCATGATAAGGACTAAAAGTATCTAAAAAAAAAAATATTAGTTTGTGATGTTAAATGACAAAAATGATAGTTTTTGACTAAATTTAGAATTGTCATCAAAGACACCAGTGGAATTAACTCAATAATTTTGAAATTAATCCTATTAATTAAGGCCTTGAAATCTTGAAATGCATGCAGAGTCTAGGGTTTATCCATTCCAACAACGTCATGGTATACGGGCTAACCTCCGTTAACAGCCAGTTGTTCCACGTCGTTATCCTCGCCTGCAAAAACACGACACTGCAAGGGTTAAACATTATGGCCCCTAGAAATAGTATTAACACAGACGGCGTTCATGTCCAGTTCTCGTCAGGTATTACCGTCGTCGACTCTAATATCGGCACCGGAGACGACTGTGTATCGATCGGCCCAGGCAGTACTAATCTATGGATTGAGAACATTGTGTGTGGCCCCGGCCACGGAATCAGGTAACTATCTACTTTTGTAAATATTATTTTACAGTTGTGTCATGAATTGAAGTTAAATTATTCTTTTTTGCTAGTCCAATAGTCTTTTTTGCTTTTTCATTACTTCAATACCAATTATGATGTAACCATATATAGGAGTAGGGAGAGTTCAGGTGAGAACATGCTCTCAGGTAAAAAGTGATGATTGATATGATCCACCAATCTAAATAGATCAAAGATTGAGAACGGTTGAACAATAAATTAAAAAAAATAGTGGGGTTAGTTTTATAAATATTACAAAGTTGAAAGTTTATCATAATAATTATATATAAAATTGAACACGTGTTGTTTTTACTAAAACTCTCAACCATTAATGAATCTTAATGAACGACTAAGATCAATCTCACTTTTTACAATAGGGATTATTCTCATTTGAACCACCCTATGGGCCAAGATCAAATGAGAACATGGTCATTTAGTAAAAAGTGAAGATTGGTCTCAACCGTCCATCATGGTTCATTAATAGCTAAGTGTACATCATAATAAAAAAAAAAAAAAAAGAGACAATTTTATAATTACCTTAAATTTTTAAGTTTACAATATTTATAAAACTAACCACATGCCCTTTCCCTTTATTTCTTTTAACAACTATTAACCTTTGATTTATCTAAATAGATGGATGAATCATATCAGTCTTTATTTTTATCGAGATTTTGTTATCACATGAACACTCTGATATATATGTGTGTGCATGTGGGGGAAAAGTAACTGGTTTGTGAAATTGGCACGAACAGCATTGGAAGTTTAGGCAGGGATTATGAAGAAAAAGGGGTGCAAAATGTGACGGTTAAAATGGTTACCTTTATAAATACACAAAATGGTGCAAGGATAAAAACTTGGGGCAGACCAAGCACAAGTTTTGTGAAGGATGTCCTCTTCCAACATGCTCTTATGTACGATGTCCAAAATCCCATTATTATCGACCAGAATTACTGCCCCTACAACAAAAGTAGTTGCCCAGGCCAGGTATTATATCATTTCAATATTTAATTTGTACGTTCTCAATTTTGATAATTATATAATATTACTTTTCATCCCCCCAAAAAAAATTGCCTTTATTATTAAAGGTTTAATTAACTAACTCATAATAATTGTACATTATTTCAAGTTCCTTATATAAGAGTGAGACTCTCTTTAAATTGTCTTTATTTCAATTTTTCATGTATCTAAATCTAAAAACATAATAAGTGTGAATGAAAGTTATACCCCTGATTTATGTCCGTTTTTTCCGTCAAGTTTTTTTGTACATTATGTTCTAAAGGTTGTACATTAAAATATTTTGGACAAACATACCCCTACCGTTATAACTTCCGTTATCTTTTCCACTATTGTTACCATGCACATGCATCCACCATATATTTTCTTATCTTCTTCATTAATAATAATATATACACATTAAATATTTGAGTTATATGTTAATTATTACATAAATATAAATATCAAATTTATAAAAATGATTTACATTATTATTATTATATTATTATTTAGAATAATTTAAATATCTAAAATCTAAATAAATTTAAAATTTTAATATAATGTATTAATATTGGGCACCTATTTTTTACGCATCGCGCATAAAAAATACTAGTATTAAAATAAAATCATTACATTTTTAGTCTATAAACTTTAAAAGTATATAAATTCCAGACCGACCCAACCTAGACTATATGAAGGTTGAGCTAACATTGCCATATATACATTAGGGTCATGCCGTGCTAGCCCATGCACAGACGTTATGCCATGGAACTGTGTTCACCATTCATGGTGAACACGGTTCCAACGGTGTTAGTGCACCATTATCTTTCTTTTTTTTATTTTTTTATTTTTTTTTAATTAATTACGTGACTGCCTACACATTCACTTTGGAACCATGCCTACACATTCACTTTGGAACCATGAGATTATGAATTTTCTGTTATGAGATTATGAATTTTCTGTTATGAGATTATGAATTTTCAGTTATGAGATTATGAATTTTCTGTTATGCGATTATGAATTTTCTGTTATGAGATTATGAATTTTCATTACATTCATAATTTCGGAGTTTCGGACATTCATAAATTATGAATTCATGCATGCACATTCACTTTGGAACCATGCCTACATATTCCCGTCCGAAATCACGGACATTCATAAATTATGAATCCATGCCTGCACATTCACTTTGGAACCATGAGATTATGAATTTTCTGTTATGCGATTATGAATTTTCTGTTATGCGATTATGAATTTTCTGTTATGCGATTATGAATTTTATGCGATTATGAATTTTCATAAAATTCATAATCTCATAACAGAAAATTCATAATTTGATCAGTAACGCGCCGTTAACTCCACATCCGCGATTTTTTTTTTTTTTTTTTGCCTAAAAACGACGTCGTTTTGACTTGTGTTCACCATTCTCGGTGAACACGATTCCACGGCATAATTTGCGGCCCATGCATGAGTCGGCCAATTAAGTCTAGCCCAACCAAAGTTATATGAATAGCCATCATTATTGTGTGGACCATATTTTGTATACTATAAAATAATGTACATTCAATATAAAAATAGTGTACATTCGGTACAAAAATAATGTACATTTAATACAAAAATAATGTACATTATATTCATGAGATGTACATTATTTTTTTAATGAGTGTACATTATATCGTATAATGTACATTCAATACAAAAATAATATACATTTAGTATATTAAAAATGTATTTTTTTGTTATGGTCCACCTAACACTATGTGGACAATAATTTACCTATGAAGAGTGGCTGCCACTACTCTATATATATACAAAGTCATGTCGTGCTGGCCCATATATGTTAGGTTATCTCACACTATCATCCTTAAATCACATTCGTTATTCGTTAATCAAATAAAAAAAACACATATAACAAGAATCCATTTTTGTGTTTAGTTTTATTAGAAATTAAACTTATAATCTCTTAAATTGATAGTGATTCGTTATTCAATTATGGACTGGTGTTAATATTTATTATTGTTATTACAGTATTCGGGTGTTAAAATTAGTGATGTAACATATGAAGACATCCGAGGAACATCTGCAACGCAAGTAGGGGTGAGACTCGACTGTAGCGCGACGAACCCGTGCCGCAGCATAAAACTACAGGACGTCATGTTGACGTATGAAGACGGACCAGCCGAAGCGTCATGCGTTAACGCCGACGGAACAACTTCCGGCGTTATTCAACCTATGGCTTGTTTCTAATCTAATTAACACAACAACGTATGTAGCTAATGTAACAAATGAAAACACGTTCTTCTTCTTTTTATGTTTTATTATCTTTCATCATCTTCAATTAAATTAAATTCAATACGTACTTGAGAAATGCACGTCCACATTGGTCTTGTTTAGTAAAATAGTTAGCTTATCAATTAATTTTGACTTATTTGACTACTATTAGTTGTTTGACTTAGTTAAAAAATCAATATAAATATTTGATTAATTAAGTTTTTATTTTTTTATTTTTTTATTTTGTTATTTTGTTATTTTTTTATTTTTTTGTAACTCTAAGGCTATGGCTCTGTTTGGCAGAGCTTATTTCGGAGCTTATAGCTTATTTTAAGGTACTTATCAGTTATAAGCTCTGTTTGATAATGTTCTCAAAATAAGCTCATAGCTTAAAATAAGAGCTTATTTTGGAACGCTACTTTAGGTAGCGTTTCAAATAAACTCCTAGCTTCCTAACTTTTTTTCCATCTTTATACTTATTATTTTAAAGAAATGACATAATTTACCTGATGGATTTAATTAACCCGGGGTGGCCCGAATTATTAAACCTGGATAAGAACGTAATATGGGAAATATATAAACGGGACAAAACGATGTCGCAAGGCCGCATGGACTGTAGGTCGTGAGGACCGTATATTATATCAAATGCCGTAAATAGGCTATTACAATGGTTCGCTATTACAAAGTATGTAAGTAGGATAGATCGTCTCTTGTTAGGACAAGATGGGGGCTTTTATACAAGCTAAATCCCCCAACTGCCTCCCCCTAAAACGGGGGGTAGTTATATCTCAAGTTGACCGCGCCCGGTATCGCGACTGGGCCGCGCTGTGGGGGCCGGACCGAGCCCATTTGGAGGTCGGTCTGACCCCGTGGAGAGGCCAGTCCGACCTCAAGCCGTGGCTCGCGCAGGGCCACGTGTCGAAGCCTCGTGCCGGGGCGGGTACGCGGCACCGCCCCAGGACCCGTTCTTGCTCCGCGCCCTCAGGTCGGTTCGGGTCGATTTCCAATATATCCATCATCAGTCCCCACTCTCTGAGCTGCGAGTGATCGTCAGTGAAGGAGAGTAGACGCTCCGGCCGACTGGCCAAAAATGCCTACCCCGAGGTGCCCGCGTCCCAGGCTTACAGGTGCGTTGTCAGAAAGGCACTTCTTGTGATAAGGATGAAAACTCCGCCACGAACATGACTCCTTCATCTGTTAGGACTCACATGCAGTAGAGTCCTAATTAATCTCATCTTTCTTCCCTAGATATCTTCAAAAGTCAACCCATCACATGCCGTAAGCGGAGCCGCAGCCCGCCGTCGCGCCGGACTCGAACGAGTAGACTTGGTCCTGTTTTATCTTAGTTTGCTTCTGGGCATAGACTTTGAATATTGTCGCCCTCTTTTGCTGCTTATGTTGTGGTTGTATGGCAACTCTTTGTGTTACCTTTTGCTATGATTCGAAAGTTGGATCTTCTCTTTTATCTCTTGTCTACTTGGTAATTTGAACAACACAACATGTGTCTCTATTACTAAAGCCCCGTCGCGGCGCCGATATGAAGACGAGAGGTAGGACATAGCCTCGCGGCCCCTGGCCGAGCTCCGGACGACCTCCCGAGCCTCGGCCTCGCCCCAATGCCGTGCAGGATTTTTTTTTTTTTTTTTTTTTTTTTTTTGCTTGGTGGGGAATCCGCCGGGTTTGGTACGCGAGGTTGGGCCTCGTGCCCCCTTAGGGTGCGTTAGCCGCTCCGTCCTAGCTCTTTGCGCATAGGTACTTGGGCCCTTCCGTCAGGGTTGGTACGCAAGATCGGACCTCGTGCCCCCTTAGGGTGCGTTGGCCGCTCCGTCCTAGCTCTTTGAGCATAGGTACTTGGGCCCTTCCGATGGGGTTGGTACGCGAGGTCCGGCCTCGTGCGCCCTTAGAGCGTGATAGCCGCTTCGTCCTAGCTCTTTCGAGCCTAGGCACTTCGGGCTCCTCCGTCGGGGTTGGTACGCGAGGTCCGGCCTCATGCCCCTCGGGGTGTGATAGCCGCTCTGTCCTAGCTCTTTGAACATAGGTACTTGGGCCCTTCCGTTGGGGTTGGTACGTGAGGTCCGGCCTCGTGCCCCCTTAGAGCGTGATAACCGCTTCGTCCTAGCTCTTTCGAGCCTTGGCACTTCGGGCTCCTCCGTCGGGGTTGGTACGCGAGGTCCGGCCTCGTGCCCCCTCGAGGTGTGATAGCTGCTCTGTCCTAGCTCTTTGAGCATAGGTACTTGGGCCCTTCCGTTGGAGTTGGTACGCGAGGTCCAGCCTCGTTCCCCCTTAGAGCGTGATAGCCGCTTCGTCCAAGCTCTTTCGAGCCTAGGCACTTCGGGCTCCTCCGTCGGGGTTGGTACGCGAGGTCCGGCCTCGTGCCCCCTCGGAGTGTGATAGCCGCTCTGTCCTAGCTCTTTGAGCATAGGTACTTGGGCCCTTCCTTTGGGGTTGGTACGCAAGGTCCGGCCTCGTGCCCTCTTAGAGCGTGATAGCCGCTTCGTCCTAACTCTTTCGAGCCTAGGCACTTCGGGCTCCTCCGTAGGGGTTGGTACGCAAGGTCCGGCCTCGTGCCCCCTCGGGGTGTGATAGTCGCTCTGTCCTAGCTCTTTAAGCCTAGGTACTTGGGCTCTTCCGTCGGGGTTGGTACGCGAGGTTGGGCCTCGTGCCCCCTTAGGGTGCGTTAGCCGCTCCGTCCTAGCTCTTTGAGTATAGGTACTTGGGCCCTTCCGTCGGGGTTGGTACACGAGGTCGGGCTTCGTGCCCCCTTAGGGTGCGTTAGCCGCTCCGTCCTAGCTCTTTGAGCATAGGTACTTGGGCCATTCCGTTGGGGTTGGTACGCGAGGTCGGGCCTCGTGCCCCCTTAGGGTACTAGCCCCTTGACCCAGGTCGTTCGACGCCGGGCCGTTAAGCTCTTCCGTCGGGGTTGGTAACGCGAGGTCGACCCTCGTGCCCCCTTAGGGTACTAGCCCTTTGACCCAGGTCGTTCAATGCCGGGTCGTTAAGCTCTTCCGTCGGGGTTGGTACGCGAGGTGGGACCTCGTGCCCCCTTAGGGTACTAGTTGGAGGGTTATGCGGTGCCTGAAACCATAGGATAATGAGAAGGGGGTCTCGCCCGTGGCTCGTCGGAGCGTGGTGCGGTACACCCATAGAATGGAGTCTAACTCCTCCACCCAGGCCACGTCTGCTGACCCCATAGGTAGGGTTTCCACTATGTACACCCCCACCTTGAAAAAGGGATCATCGAGCCTTGACGATAGATTTTGCCTCGCTGGGGTATAGGCATTGCAGTAGGGTGTTGTTATAGGACCTCCTGTAGAGTGTATCACCGAGGAGCGGGTTGGTTCTCCTCACCTGCTTGGCATCGGCCTTGTCAAGGGGCAAACAACCCATAATAGGTTCTTCCGTTAAGTAGTGAGCGGGGGCGTCGCCCCTATACTACCGTTAGGGAATGCCAAAGTCGGGGCCGACGCACACGACCGTGACTATGGGTTGATAAAAACATATGTCCATATTTGATCTCCTGGGTTCGGGGAAGCCGGGTGCTCGACCTATCACGCCCCATTGGGAGGGGTGGGGTAAATGTAGGCACCCCTCGAGAGACGTCGGGCCGAGCATGAGGGCTCGAACACTTCTTTGGAGGCCCTCACTGGGGCGGGTCGACAAGGTGGTAGCTTGTTGGAGCGCGACCATCCCCTCCGGGAGCTCGTTCATTCGCTTACGGAGCTGCCCAACCTCGTCACGATGGGTGCTTGGAGCTCGACTATTTGTTTCTCCCAACCTCTCATCTCGGGAGGCCTAGTCGCGTCGCGGCAGAGCTCGGGGCCCGTGGCTCCGCGACCTACTGAAAACAATTCCTTCCACGGCGGGGCTCGAAAGCCACGACTAGGAGACCTTCGGGGACATGATTCCTCCGCTGGTGGTGCGTTGGGGGTTGACCTTGGGCCCAACCTATCTCGGGACACACGCGCTTGCCAAGCCTCTCGAAGGCGGGCCTAGTGTGGGTCGACCTCCCTCTATCGCCCTCTCGATGGCGATCTTGGCGGATGTCACCCCCTCACCACGTGTCCGATGACTAGGGCGAGTTGACATCATCTTCGATTTGAGTGTAGAGTGCCCGGGTGCTTGGACCAATGCGCCCCCTTGAGGGAGGTGGAGGTGGGGTCGGCGTCCTTTGTGTGGCCTCTGGGCAGTCGTGCACACCTCCTTGGGGACGCTCTGCGAGGTGAGCCAAAGTCGCAGAGGATTGTGAAAGGGCAACCGCCCCCTCCTATAGCGGGGCGACTTTCGGAGGAGGGGTGGACTGTCTTGCGTACCTCCTTGGGGATCCTCTGCGAGGTGAGCCAAAGTAGTAGAGGATTGTTAAAGGGCAACCGCGCCCTCCGGTAGCGGGGCAAGATTCGGAGGAGGGGCGGACCGTCTTGCGTACCTCCTTGGGGACCCTCTGCGAGGTTAGCCAAAGTCGCAGAGGATTGTTAAAGGGAAACCGCCCCCTCCTATAGCGAGGCGACATTCGGAGGAGGGGTGGACTGTCTTGCGTACCTCCTTGGGGATCCTCTACGAGGTGAGTCAAAGTAGCAGAAGATTGTTAAAGGGCAATCGCCCCCTCCGGTAGCGGGGCAAGATTCGGAGGAGGGGCGGACCGTCTTGCGTACCTCCTTGGGGACCTTCTGCGAGGTTAGCCAAAGTCGCAGAGGATTGTTAAAGGGCAACTGCCCCCCTCCTATAGCGGGGCGAGAGTCAGAGGAGGGGCGGACCGTCTTGCGTACCTCCTTGGGGACCCTGTGAGCCAAAGTCGTAGAGGATTGTTAAAGGGCAATCGTCCCTCCTGTAGCGGGGCGAGAGTCGGAGTAGGGGCGGACCGGCACACCACCACTGCCATGGTTAACGAGGTGATCTCTCAAGTCCCCTCTCGACTTGTTGGAGACGGTCGGTAGAAGGCTAGGGGCCCCATTGGGGCCGTTCCTAGTTGGGGCGTGTTGGGTGTGAGCGAGGTTCGGAACGGGGGCGGCGGGGGCAGTGCCCCACTGCTGCGCCCCCTGGATGGAGGTGGAGGCGGGGCCGACACCCTTTGGATGACGTCCGGGTCGGCTTGCGCACCTGCCTGAAGGCCTTCCATGACCCGGGCTAGCGTCATGGAAACCTGTTGAAAGACCACCACCCCCTCCTAAAAGAGAGCAAGGTTCAGAACCGGGGCGGTGCACCACTGCTGCGCCCACTGGAGGGAGGTGGAGGTGGGGCCGACACCCTTTGGATGACGTCCGGGTCGGCTTGCACACCTGCCCGAAGGCCTTTCGCGACCTGGGCTAATGTCGTGGAAGCCTGTTGAAAGACCACCACCCCTCCTGAAAGAGAGCAAGGTTCGGAACGGGGGCGGCGGGGCGGTGCACCACTGCTGCGCCCACTAAAGGGAGGTGGAGGCGGGGCCGACACCCTTTGGATGACGTCCGGGTCGGCTTGCGCACCTGCCTAAAGGCCCTCCGCGACTCGTGCGAGCGTCGTTGAGGCTTGTTCGAAGACCGCCACTCCCTCCCGGAAAAGAGCAAAATTTGGAGAGGGGGCAGCGGGGGGCGGTGCACCATCGCTACGGTGGTTGGTTAGCTGACCCCTTAGATCTCCCCCCGACCTGGTGGAGGCGGCCGGTTGGAGGCTGGGGCCCTGTTGGGGCCGTTCCCGGTTGCGGCGAGCTGGGTGCCACGGGAACCATTGGTGTGGCGAGAGTTGGATCTCGACCTTGCCATGGTAGCTGATCGCGGTGGATCGAAGGATATAGAACACGCTTGAGCTGGTACAACAGCTCTCAACAAGAACACCAATGATGGATTTAATTAACCCGGTGTGACCCGAATTATTAAACCCGGATAAGAACGTAATATGGGAAATATATAAACGTGATAAAACAATGTGGTAAGGCCGCAGGGACCGTAGGTCGTGAGGACCGTATATTATATCAAATGCCGTAAATAGGCTATTACAATGGTTCGCTATTACAAAGTATGTAAGTAGGATAGATCATATCTTGTTAGGGCAAGATGGGGGGGGGGGGGGGTAGTTGGATCTCAAGTTGACCGCGCCTGGTCTCGCGCCGGGTCGCGCTGTGGGGGCCGGACCGAGCCCATTTGGA